GAAACATATCAAGGAAGAGGGTCACTGTACCCCCCAAAAGCACTGGAATACTCCAAAATGGTTCACTATCTTACTTCCAACAAAATTACTTCTGAGAACCCAGAGCAATGACCCAGTGGTAACCTACCTAGGGAAAGCTAAAGCTATGTTTCTAGGCTATGTTTCTAAGCATCTAAAATACTCTGACTCCTTGGAAGAAAAGCTATGACAAACCTAGACAGTGTATTAAAAAGCAGAGACATCACTTTGCCAACAAAGGTCCATCTAGTCAAAGCTATGGTTTTTCCAGAAATCACATACAGATTCAAGAGATGGACCATAAAGAAATCTGAGTGCCGAAGAATTGATGCTTATGATCTGTGGTGTTAGAGAAGACTCTTGAGAGTTCCTTGGACAGCAAGGAGATCAAACCAGTCAGTCCTAAAGGAAATCAACCCTGAATGTTCATTGGAGTGACTGATGCTGAAGCTCCAATACTCTGGCCACCTAATGTGAAGAGCCGACTCACTGGAAAAGACCCCGATGTTGGGAAAGATTGAGAGTAGGTGGAGAAGGGGGCATCAGAGGATGAGATGGTCGGATGGCACCACTGACTCAATGGACATAAGTTTGAGCAAACTTACGTGAGACAGTGAAGGACAGGAAAGTCCGGCATGCGGCAGTCCATGGGGTCACAAAGAGCTGGACACCACTGAGCGACTGGACATCAGCAATAATGTTTCTATGACACCATCCACCTTGACCTTGAGATTTGGCTGTTCAACCTCTCCTTACCATCCAGCCCCCTTCCTCAGTTTCTTCCACTCCCTCTTTCCTGAGGTCAGAGACTAAGGAGGTCAATCACAAGGAGACTGAGGAGGGTTAGGGGAGGGGTAGGAATAGTAAAGGAGAAACAGACTAGTAAAGGAAAAGCAAATGCAGTGCATCCTAATTCCTAACCACCCAGCCCTTCCCTTCTTATCACTGTCAGTGCTTTGCAGTCAAACCCCCAGTTTCCTCATTCCTTCTTAGTTGCCTCACCCTTTCCACAAACCCTGCTGCCTCAGAAGCAGCAGCTCTGCTCTGCGGCCTTGCAGGTACTCAGCTCCACCCTGGCCAACTCTCCCGCATCAGCCCAAAGCACTGAGGGGAAGAATTTACCTGGAAAGAGGCAAGGGGAGCACAGTACAGTAACGGGTAATGTAACCAGGAGACTAAACTGGGGCTTTTATCACCATCACCACGACTGTTTCTTTGAGAAATACACTGAGTTTCAAATCATCATGAACTTTCAGAACACAATCCTTTTTTGAAATTGGGGGCTGCCTGCAATTCTTTCCTGAAGAGTTACAAACATGTTGTTATGAATCTGTAAATGTCAAGTTGTTGGATTCAAGAAACATCTATACTCATGAAACATCCAGACCATATGGGCTACCCCAAGCTTGGCAAATGTCTGTTTACTAATCCAGAATCTGCTCGGTTATCTAAGTAGACTGTAAAACTAGTGAGTTTCTGTGAACCAGTCCCCTCTGGAAGATCCAGAACCTCTTCTCCAAGGTCTAAGAAACTGTTAAAGACACTTTTTTGATTCACTTCAGCAGAAAAATTTTAAACAGGGTTCATTTGTGTTTTTTCTTATCATTTTAGAAACATAGGGTATTGAATCTTAATTACTCTAAAACACAGATCTGTATTTTCAACAGCCAGATTATCAAACAGGATTTCCACTTGGACCCACACAGCTCACCTGAAACAAATACCCCACTTCGCATTTACCTTATTTTGGGGGTAGCCAGGTATCCTCCTTGGGAAGCTTGAATTCTTTCTCTTTCTACACTCAACGTTGTTTACACAAGGTACACCCTCCCAGGCAACACTGTTAGCCTGGCCCTGTGACTGAAGGCTTTTGATTCAGCTGGCACATCTTAGGACTCCCCAGCCTGTTCAGGCCTCCCTGCTCCAGGCCTGAACAAAAATCTCCATGGAAAGTGAAATTCAAAAGCAGAGCTCACCCACTCTTTACCAGGCTGCCCTACTTGACAGCTTCAACCTGTCCAAAGCCGCCCTCGGTTTCCTGTGGCCTTGAGAAAAAGCCTTTCTTATGAATGCCATCCGGCTGCACTGGCTGGATGTGTACATTAACCCCTTCCATCCTCGTTCCCCCCCCACCCCCCCCACCAGAGCAGCAGTGCCCTAAAGGCATAAGAAGCAAACCAGATGAAGAACAAGTCCCAAAAGTTTACAGTTTGTATTAGAGATAATGACAAACCCTTCAGATCAAGTCTGAGGGTCAACAGAAAACTTAACACTAAGGGTCCTATCTCCAGTTTCACGGGAAAACAATTTCATCTTAGCTAAGGATAGGAGTATGTCACAAAGCCCTGGTGGTTCAGACGGTAAAGAATCCACCTGCAGTGCAGGAGACCCGGGTTCAGTCTCTGGGTCAGGAAGATCCCCTGGAGAAGGGAATGGTAACCCACTCCAGTGTTCTTGCCAGGAGAATTCCACAGAGGAGCCTGGTGGGCTACAGTCCATGGGGTAACAAAAAGTCAGACATGACTGAGTAACTAACACTTTCCCCTAAATAGTTATCTAGCACCTCAAATCCAACATATCCCAAAAGCAAACTCACTACCCTTATTTCAAACCTAATCCTATCTCAATTGTTGTCATCCACTCATTGCTCAAGCGGAGGAGGCAAGGGCACCCCACTCCAGTACTCCTGCCTGGAAAATCCCATGGACGGAGGAGCCTGGTAGGCTGCAGACCATGGGGTCGCTAAGAGTTGGGGTCGCTAAGAGTTGGACACGACCGAGCGCCTTCACTTTCACTTTTCACTTTCACGCATTGGAGAAGGAAATGGCAACCCACTCCAGTGTTCTTGCCTGGAGAATCCCAGGGACGGGGGAGCCTGGTGGGCTGCCATCTATGGGTTCGCACAGAGTCGGACACGACTGAAGCGACTTAGCAGCAGCAGCATGTCACAAAGAAGCCAAATTCGTCCCTTCAACATATACACATACACAATAACACACAAAAATTTGTTAAAAGGAGGGCAGTACCAGCAGAAACTAACACAACATTGTAAAACAACTAACCTCCAATAAAAAATTATTAAAAAGGAGGGCAGCATCAACAAAACTGTCCCGTGGTGAGATGAGCAGGCATGAAAATAAAAATAGAAAACAGATTTTTTTTTTTTTAAGTTGGATACTTTATTCCCCACTGAAATATTTATGCCAAGGGAGAGGTTTTCACCTAGGTACTAACATTCAGAGTAGACAGCTGTAAACAGGATGGAGTCAGATTTAGAAAAGTTAAGGCAAAGGAGGTAAGTCTTTTTGAGTTAAAGGAGAAGGGCAGAGAGGATTATGAGCAAAGTGCCAAGAAAGCATCTGAAAGGTAAAAGAACAATTTATTTTACTTGGTGCAACAACTAAGATTTTGCTTAATTTGATTTATTCAATTCATCCAATAATCCTTTTTTTTTTTGAGGCCCTACTATGCGCCACATGTGTTAATATTTCTACAGAAGTCCTATTTTAAGACCTAAGCAGTCAAAAGCTTGAAGTTAGTAACCTAAGAAAGAATATAAAGGCTTCCAAAAGGGTCTGTGTGCTTTGTGATAAACACAAAACACTTTCAACACAATGCCAAGGCTCCCTTTGTGACTAGGGAGAGAGAAGGCAGCTGCTCCTGGAGTTAACCCCTTTGCCCTTCTTTCGCTCATTCTTCCATTTACTCAACCAAATCTACTGATCCCTACTAAGCCCCTTGCTTGGCCTCATGCAGGACAAAAAGATATGGCCAGAACTCTTCATGGAGCCTGAAACCAAACACCAATCAGGCATGGCAATGAACAATTCTACCATAAAGAAGACTGAGATAGAGAACACCACAGCATCAGAGCATAACTGGGACAGCAGAATAGGAGGCAAACACATCCCACTAGGTAACTGTGGAAGCTTCAGAAAGCAAAGGATTGCTGAGCTGGACCATCGAGGATGGGCAAGGTTTCAAATAAGACAGACAAAGTAGGTAGACCAGGGGTAGAAGTATGTATACAAAAGTGAGAAAGGGCAGGAGTTATATGTTTTTCCTGCATTTTTCCTATATTCATCTGAAGTTAGTAATTAGCCTTCAACAAGTAAAATAAATAATCCTCAAAGAGTAGTGAATTTTGCAAATTTAGAGGTTTTATCTGACAAGGGCACCAAAGGTAAACACATAGATTTCAAAAACTTCACAGATTTCTTATACCTAGCAAATAAACCTCATTGACTTGGCCAACTTCGTCCCCTAGGGTCTTGCTCTATATTCCAAGTTGGTACTTTTAAGTCAACGACTTAAATGTTACATTGCAAATACCCATCCTGACTACATGATAAAAAGAGACTGCACTCTGGAAATAACTTAATATATACTTAGCTAAACCAGTCTCTCAAACTGGGTCATTTGTAGAGACGTGATGAACCTAAAGAGAGTTATACAAAATGAAGTCAGTCAGAAAGAGAAAAACAAATATTGTATATTAACTGAAGTATGTGGCATCTAAAAAATGGTATAGATGATCTTATTTGCAGAGCAGAAATAGAGACGCAAATGTAGAGAACAACTATATGGATATCAAGGGGGAAAATAGGGGTTGGAGGACCTGGAAGACTGGGATTGACACATGTGTACTATTGATACTATGTATAAAATAGATAAATAATGAGAATACAGTGTATAGCACAGGATATTCCACCCAATGCACTGTGGTTACCTGACTGGGAAGGAAGTCCAAAAGGGAGGGATATACTGTATATGTCTGGCTCATTCATTCTGCTGTGTAGTAGAAAATAACGTAACATTGTAAAGCAACTACACTTCAATAAAAATTAATTAAAAAATAAAATCAAATAAACCACTCTCTTGCCAAGTTACTTGTCCCCACCTGTGAGATCTCAGCCTATCTCAGAGGGTTGCTGAGGGTTCATTTCAGCGATACACGTGTCTGTCTGACACCTAGGTGTTACCTGGAACGCTGGTGTCTGGGTCCAAGTCGGAGCTGGCCGTCTGGAGCTTCATACGGCTCCTGGACCTCATACACATCTCCATCAGCGTCCTCCACACTGCTGGGATTCTGCCATTCCAACGCGGGAGTCTTCCCCATAGCCATCACAAACGGCAAGTTCTCATATTCTGGTATTTCCTCATAGTGGCGTATATTTTCATACTCCGGTGCGCAGTCGCTGGTGACAGATTTGCAAGGTGCCTGCAAGGACGACTCCCTGGAGAGCATTCGGTCATCCAGAGACTCGGCTCTTGGTCCATTAGCTGCACTGGTCTGGCCCCGCAACTTCTTCCTCTTCTTGTGGGATTCCAGGCTACAGTTATCTGCGGAATAGGCTTTGGTGGCTTTACCTCTCTGCTCCTCTCCCGCCAACAAGCCATGCCAATCACTCTCCCCACCTCCCACTTTTTGCTCTCCACCTGCCAGGCTGCCTGAAGTTGTGTCTCCAAGTTGGCTATTCTTGGACCAAAATTTCTGGAAGTCACTCTTCATGAAACAGATGGACAATTTCATATTGAGTAACTTCTTGAAAGAGTTCTTCTTGTGAGAGTCTTTGCAAGGCTTAGTGCACCTTTCCACATCCACAGCAGATAATGATTTTGCTCTAGGCTTGGTCAGGGCCCTGGGAGTCTCACTGTTTGAGGATATGGTGACAGACTTTAAGGATTCTGGGTTCCCTGAAAAGGGTATGATAGGATGAGGTAATTTCCACACTGGCTTCTCTGAAGCCCGTTTAGGCATATCAAAGGAGGACGACATACCATTGTTTGGGGCACCTAAATGCTGCAGGTGATCTCTTTCTAGACCCTTCTCTGAATCTTTTTCTTCATTTGCGGGATAAGAACTTTTCTCCACAAGCTCCTCAGAAGCAGCCTTTTTAAGCACGCCAGCAGCAGGCAAACTGTGTCTTTGAGGTTTTTTGGGGACAATTTTTGAGGAACTTTCATCTTTTATGATAGATTCCTTTTGCATTTGAGGGGCAGACACTCCTGGGTTAGAGGCAGTAGGCAAATGTTCGTTGCAGGTTAATTTGAGCTGCTTGGGCAGGCTCATAGATAGAGTACTGCATCTTATAAAACTGGTCCCTTTGTCCTCGGCAAGTGACATACCAGAACTATCTCCTGACTTGTCGTCAGAACCCAAATTAGAGTCTGGTTCTAAAAGAGGCGCCGTTTCTTCAGAGGAAAATGTTTCAGGACACACGGCTTTCTGTGAACAGACTAAGTTTTGTCTGTCACCGCTGAAGTCCACATTCAACTCACTTTTAGTTTCTGGCTTCACTTTGTCTACCTGTTCCTGGTTACACAGAGCGGTCTGATGAAAAACACTGATTTTATTGTTTTTCAAACTATCTTCGAAAAGACGAGGCAAGTTGTCTACATTCTCTGGTTCTTCAGTATTTTCACTGGGAGTATCTATATGTCTCTGGCGCAAGAGGCGGGCAACACGTGTTTTTCTGGGCTTGGGAGTTGGAAATTTGGGCGTACATGGCACTAAGTGGATTTCCAAGGGACCAAGGTCTTTGGCTTCTGATTTCTTACTATCTCCATCTGAAGATAAGAAAGGACTCCTTTTTCCATTTTCTAGAGCTTCTTGTTCAGATGAGTGATAGCAAGTATTGTTTTTTTCACTGTCATTCTGATTAACTTCAAAATTTTGAAATTCAGTGCTAGGAAGTTGTAGGTGGCAAGGGTGATGATTAGAAACGTTTTCAAAGCTGGACAGGGAAGGTGACAAATCTGCAAATTCAATTCTGAACTGTCTGTGGGAATTACAACCATCACTCATTTCTGGACTGTCTGTGGATCTGTGCTTCTGGGGAAAAAGAAAGGGTGACGTCCGTTGTGTTAAAACATCTTTGAGCTTCTCTTCGAGGATGCTTGCCTTTAAAACTACTTTACTCTGGCTCTTGACCCTTTCACCAACAGAATCACATTTATACTGATTTTTTACAGCTGAAGGGGACTCACCAATTTTGTTATTTTCTAAATTCTCATGCATTTCCAGGGGCCCGAAGACAAGGTGCTTGACACACAAATTCTCTCTGTTCTCAAGCTTATGGTTACACCCAGGATGGCAGGAACACACTGGTAAAATACAATCACTGCTTGGATGCCCTCTGTTTCTGCAGTTCGAGTTGTCAGTACTTTCAAGGAATTCCTGTGTATTCTCTTCCAGGTTCACGACGATTTTCCTTGACGGTGACTGTGTGATGTCCTGGACAGATGAGGCCTTCAGAACTTTTGGTTTTGGAGCTATGGCAGGTTTGGTTTTCTTTGTTGACTGTGGAACACTAGAAACCAAGATCTCAGGTTTAGGTGCGACAGGCGGTGGAGTTGGCTTATTAGCCGCCACAACAAACTTTGGCTTGGGGGCCACTGGTGGCTTCTTAATCTCTAGAAAGGAGAGAAAAAAAAAAAGCCTGATGACCAAAAATCCAAAGCAGAAGATAAATGATTAAGTTTGAGAACAGTTTTACTTTTGACAATGCATTTTACTAGGTAGATTATTATACTACATTATGCAGAGTCAGTATAACTTTTGAAAATTCTGTAAATTGCTCTGCAATTCCAGTACATACAGCTTTTGGTATAGTGTACACTGGTTAGTAAATCCAATACAGTTTTTCTTCTAACTCTGGAACAGATCACCATATCTTTAGTCAACACTAAACGAAACAACTGGCTTTTGCTTAGATCCGTACAGTAGAAGATACTGTGGTTCATTTGCTGAGTGCCAAGGGCTTAATTTGCCTAAGGTTTACATAGGATGCGACCCAAACATCTCATGTGAATAGCAGTATTCTTCTATCTCAAGGATATACAGTGGAGTTGTATAAAATGCCCTTTATCAATGACCTATCTCACTTGAACCCCAAAATAACCTAAAAGAGAATACAGAAACTAGAAATTTTCCAAACTTAAAAACTGAAAATTATTGATACTGTTTTATTTGAGGCTCTTAATAAAGCTGGTATTTTTCCTGTGCAGGGGTTGTCAAATGGGAATTTTCATTATAATTCTTCACTGAGCTTTATTTTTAGAAAGTCACATGTCTACACTCTACCCCAGGTGATTATGATGTGTATCCCTCATTTATAACCATGGTTCTAGTGCATTTAAAAGATGACCATAATTCCTATGGTAGCAATTCTTTCGTGACATTATATAAAAAGGACTTAATAAGCACCTATTACACTGTGTTAGATTTCTACAGATCTACTCTAGCCTACAGGAACCTAAAACTTCACACAAAAGACCTATAAAATAAAGTTACACAGTCTGAACATCCACATTTTTTAAAGTTCTTTTGTTTTTCTATCTATACTATCATTTTTCACTCTGTCATGTTTATTAAAAGACTTGTGGTAAAAAAATATTTTTAAACCTTTCAAAATACCATCTGCTGGACACTGTTTGTAAGTACTTGGATACACAGAGGCTTTGATTCTTCACTTGGTGGTGAGTTTCTTTTCAACAAAGGAAATTAGTCACAACACTCCAATTCGGGAAGATATTACAGGGACACAGTAAGGAGAAAAAAAAAAAGGTAGGGTGCTCTACTTCCTTTTTACCAACCAAGGAAGAATTTCTCAAACCTCTTCAACCAAGGTCACCTCATAACAGATGTCTTCTCATTTAATTCCTCAGTATGTTATTAAATGTTCAATAAGCATGTTATTATTTTGCTTGTTTTTTCTTAGGTAGAAAAAATTTTTAAACCATTCAAATCCTAATGATATAAAAAAATAAAAAAAAGTGATAAAAAAAATAATAATAAATAAATAAATTAAAAAAACAAATCCTAATGATAAAGCTGTGTGTCATGCTCTATTAAATAAAACCCTTGATCTATTAAGTAAAGTCTTAAGAGAAAGTATGACTGCCCTAGGCTTCTTCCTAACCTCCCATCTTATTCTAGATAAGGAAGACTGACAGACTGTCACATTGATTTCATTTCTGTAACCATTCTGAAAACATCCTACCTCTGGGCATTTTGAAGGAATAAAAAAATAATAAGTTTTGTAACATGGAAAGAGTTCTGGAGACTGGCTGCACAGTAGTATGAATGCACTTACCACTACTGCTTTGTACACTTAGAAACAGTATAGATGCTAAATTTATGTTAGGTTATTTTACCACAGCTAAAAAACCAAAAAACAAAAACAAAAACACCTCTCATCTCATTAATCTTTTGCTGAATCTTACAGCCTCTTCAGAAATTTCAGGGTCATGCACCCAATCAATTTTTGCTATTTCAGTTCAATCTTTTCTTTTAATCTTTGGTATCAACTTTACTCTTTTCTTTAAATATGTTTTGTACAGGGTCTGCTTCTAAGAATCATAAATCTCTTACTGTTTTAGAAATTCAATTGACTACATGAACTGTGGTTGATTACCAATAAATACAGCACAACATCATGAACCTAACTACCTCAACGCATACCCAATGAATTCAATAAAGAACTGCAAACTCTGGCTTAGCTAACACTGTATTGGAGGAAACCAATAATGTAACTGGGAGAGGTGACTAACATAACCATGAGTTTTTATGCAGAATCGGTTGCTTCAGTTTCCTTACTTGTAAATGAGGGATCTGAACAAATTACTCTAAAGTCTACATGATTCTGAGGTGATAACTTCTGAGATACCTGGTTCAGGAGAACCCTTAGATTCCGGAGCCCTTTGCCCTGTGTGATTTTTCTTCAGTGTACCTCCCTCTGTCTTCACAAGAAGACAAGCTTCACGAGGGCAGGCCCTTTGTCTCTCTGCTGTATCCCCAATGCTGAACAATGGGCCTGGGAACAGACAGAGTTGCCACATACACAGTCTTTACTATGTCTCAGTAACAAGATATTTCTTTAAAAAAAAAAAAAAATCAATATCCATTTAAACACAGAATAAAATATGTTTGTAGGAATCAACTTCAATAGGATTACTGAGTAAGTTCTTAATTATTAGTAGGAATAAGTGTTCAACTAAGTCAGTAGCACAGCAATATTTGAAATTCATCATTATTTTTAGTGGCTCTATTTTGAAAGAAACACAAATCAAAAAATAACAAGCCATTATATGACAGTCTTCTCCAATGTCAAACTTGAAATAAATCCAGCACCTTTGGATGTTAATACTGTATCAACAGTCAGACTTGAAACTTCTTAGAGCATAGCAGCAAATCTTTTATTTACACAGCTGTCTGGCTCCAGGGAAAAATAAGGTAAGAGTGTAAAGCACTAGTACCACTTTTCTAACAATTACAAACACACTCGTCATCTATTACACACAGATGGCTGCGGTCCACATTGCAACACTTTGAGCTACTAGACCAGCCAAAAAGCAAAGCACAGCACATGTACAGAGACCTGTACATGTTCAAAAGGTATAAAATATATTCCTATAATTAGCTCTCTTTTTCTCATGTACTGATTTAAAAAATTCTAAAATCTCTATGTGGGCCTACTCTTTCACAGATGCAGAAAAACAAAACAAGCTCTTCTTTAGGATACATATAATTTAGATATTCTACATTTTTCTTATGTCCTTAAATTAAGCCAACCAGCCCAAACAATACCACAGATTAGATTCAGTGTAAACAAACATCTCCCCCAGTTGCAAATAATGTTCCTAAAGTTTTAATGAATTTAAATTTTGTTCCAAAGAGCATCATGAACAGCTTGTAAGAAAGATGAACACAAAATTTTGTAAAAAGATGGAAATAAAACCCCAGTTCTTTTCTATATTCTTCATTTAGACGTGAGAAAAAATTATAATAAATCTTAACAGATGGGCAAACAAAAAAGTCGTTAATGCTTCTCAGCCAGCTATGCTAAAAACCAACTAACTCAGCTAAACACAGGAAGTGTCCTTCTTTTAAACACCACAAAAATGTCTGTAGATTTCTTTAATTTTAAAGTTGATAAATATAAAAATAGCCTGCAATATTTGAGGGTCATTCAAATGAAATAATAAAATTCCAAACTGAGACCTCGATCAGGTTTACATATTTAAATATCAATTAAATGCTTCTGCATCTATTCATTATAAACTGTTGGGACTGGAACTGAAAGTTAATACATCCAAGGTATGAATTTTAAATGAATTTGACATAGGAAGGAAGAGTTAAAATGGGCTGGAGGGATTTTAAAATCTCCAACCATTTTAAATTTAAATTAAATGTGGCTTGTTCATTACACTGAGGCACAGAAATTTAGGATGAAAATACTTCACCTCAAGTAAGTAGAAAGCCTTCCTTTGGTAAGGAAAGAAGTTTATAAATAATGTAATTCTCAGTATATGATGACATCCTCTACACACACACATAACATCAAAAGGGAAGATCCACATCTTCAGAAATACTACTATGGAACACTGCACTCCTTGCTTTCTTACTCCTATTGGCTAACTTCTCAGATCCTTAGTTTGTAATCAGATTACACCTAGCAGTACAACCTCCAGCATATCTAGTCTTCAGAAAAAACACAAATCAGAATATTTAGGGAGCTGTTTGACAGTTTCAAGTTACAGGAATTTAAAACAAATGGCAAGAAAAGCTAAGAAAATTTAATCTGATACTTAACTGCTGATTCTAGAAGTAACTTTGAAGTTTTATACTTTTTTACTATTAAATGTATAATGAAGGTTTATTTCTTTCAATGTGGGCGAAAATTATCATTTAAAAAAATTTTTAAAAACTTAATACTGAATACACTATTAAGTTCTAACTTAAAAGTTAACCTATGTTCTTATAAGTGAATATAATACCACTTTAGTAATTATTTCGGAAAATAGGAACTGTTCCTTCTGAACGTTGTTCAGAAAATTCTTCAGAGTGCACACTAAGGTAATACAACAGGCTTTGCCATATGGATGAAGGGAAAGGACCAAGGGAGGTAGACAGAAAATAAGGCTTTGTGTACACTAAGCAGGTAGACATTAAAAAAAAAAAGTCCACAAAAAACCGGCTGAACATGAACAAAACCTTGGCATCGGCAGTTCTACTCCTCTGATTCTCAGATAACAGGAGGAAACCGACCAGGGCAGCAGTAACAATGTCTTTACTAAGTTTCTTTACTAAGGGTCAGGGTTTCCAGTCCTCACTGAGGTTAAAGCCACACAGCCTAGTAGCTAAGTTCAACACTCCGGGAACGCTGCCCTTTCCTAGAATAACTGATTTCTTAACATGGGAATCTAAACTATTTTCATACGCAGAGGCAAAGTCGCTCAAATTTTAGGAAAGAAAAATAAATGCCCTCTTTACATTTCCCGTTTCTCCTGGAGCTAAGAGACCCCAACAAGGTCTTCCTTCAAAGGGAGATCCCAAGAGGCACAGGATTTCCAAAGAGCCCCTCTAGGCACGAAGGGATGAGAAATCTGGCAGCAAACACCGTCTGCTCCGCACTTGCCACAGTCCGGGAGAAAGGCAGAGGGAACACTACTAACCTATCCCGGCGGAGAAAGCAGCTCCGAGCCCAAAACCTGCAGCGCTCGCTACAAACTTTCCAGCGGCAGCGCGAGCGCCGTCACTTACCGGCGGCAGAAGTCATGATTCCCCTGTGCAGCTCGCTTCCAAGCTCGCCCCCCTTAATCCCCGCGCCCCTTACAGTCCATTGTTTCAAGAATTTGAGCAGAAGACAAAAACCCCCGCAGAGCCCACATTCCGTCCCGAGGGACCGCGGCGCACCCTGAGCGCGGCACAAAGGAAGCTGCCGGCTCTGGGGACCTGGTGGCGCTCCCGGGCGCGAGCGCCGGCGACGGGCAGGCGGGCACGAGCACCGAGCAGCGGAGCTCCCGGCGGACGGCCACGCGCGCGCACGAGCAGCGCTCACCGCGGCTTCGCCAGTGCGCGCGGCCTTCTTTAGCTCCAAAAAAAAAAAAAAAAAAATCAGAGCTCCAGGCGCCCCCTGCTAGCCGCGGCCGTAAAAGGCGGACAAAAGCCCCAGCCTCCTCCAATCAGAGGGCCCAAGATTCATCCCGTTCCCGCCCCTCCCGCCCATGTGCTCAAGCTCAGCTCCAATGAACGGGCTTGAAAAGGGGGCGTGGGCTACAAGGCATGATGGGAATTGTAGTTTTCTGCACACACGTATGGGCAGAGGCAGACGCCTGGGTGCAGCCTGTTCTCCCGCCTTCATTTCCCATCGTGCTGAGGCGGGTGGCATGGCGGAGAAGGATGACACCGGATTTTGACGAAGAGGTGGTTTTTGAGGTAAGGGGAAAATGGCGGTGCGTGTGAGTTGCCTTTGTTTGAGAAGGACGAGGGAGAAGGCGAGAGGCCGATCGAAGGAGCGAAGGATCGGGTGACGCTCCTGCCGGCATTGGTCACCGAATCTCGTCGATTTCCGGGCCTAGTGTTGGCCGCTGCCTGACAGGTGTAGCCCGAGGCGCCCTCGCCTCGCCCAGTCTCTGCCTCGGGCCCTCCCAGAATTCCCAGCCTGGCCGGTGGACACTAGCTCTGCGTGTTCCTTCCCGGGTGATGGATACGCCTTGGCGGGGTGTGGGGTTGGGTAACTGCTCCTGGTTGGGGCGGGGCCCAATCGTGCATTTTGGATACTCACCCGTACGATTTTCCTGCCCCGTTTTCGTCCTTGATTTTTTGGCCTCAGTATCAAGAAGTGCCCGAGGTCACCGTTCACTGTCGAGGCGTGGCTCCTTCGAATGGAGGCAGCAGGTGCTAGGTTTAAGATCTGTGTGTGGAACCTCCTGTGGGTGGTTAGGGCCGGGGCGTCTCAGCGTCTAATTCTTTTGTCCTTTGCTGTTGCTCTAGGTGTAGCTATTTCTTCTGTTTCGAGGCTTTGGTGAGAGTGCTTTTGTGTGGGGACTATTTTAAGACGTTCTCTGCCATCTTGAATGAAAAAAAAAATTCTAGTGTTTCTCTTGCCATTTATCTATCAGACACAGGCGCAAATATACACCTCTGTATAAGGCATGTGTATGTATGCTTTACCAAAGTCCATTCATCCAACTAGATTTTAAGAAATTTAAGAAAAGAAACAGCTCATTCTATACGAAAAGAGAGCTAGACAATAAATAGTGCCGAATGGTATATGTTGAAATATACGCAAGCTGTCATTGGAGGATTGGTTTGGAAACTGCCGTCTGTTGTCGGAGACGCTACACCCAGTAAATGGATATTGGAGGTGGGTCTTGAACTGTGAGTCTGTTTAGAGAGATGGAAGGGAGAAAATGCGTTCTGAAGAAGGAGAACAAAGTATGCCAATCTTGGGAGGTGTGAAGGTATCTGGTGCAGATTTTTCCGGGACTTGAGTGTGAACTCACTGTGTGGAGCGGTCTAATGGGGCTAAAATGGAGTAGTGAGAGATAGGGCTCTTTTACCAAAAGGAAGTGTCTTGATTTGAGGAGGTCAGTAGGGAAGACAAGTGTCTGAGTTTCGGATATGAGAGAAGACTGAATTGAATAATGGCTTGGACAGATACTTCTAAGGTAAAATTGAGGAAACAGTTACAAGATTGCATGTGGGACATGAGAGACAAAAATCTATGTTACTTAGATTGCTAGAGAAAAGGGACTGGGTGGATTTTTTTTTTTACCCTGTTATATGGTTAGATATCTGAATATAATAATAATGCATACTCATTTCTACATTTCATTGTAGAAAACAAGCCACAACATTAAAATCACTCCTTATCCTTTCACCCACAGATGGCCACTATTAACATTATAGTGTGTATTCTTGCCAACTTTTTCTACTCAAATGTTTGATTTTTTTTAACACAAAAAAGTATACCACGTAGAATTGTATATGTATTTTTCACTGAGTGTTTTCTTATTACTCTTTGAAAACAACATAATATCCAGTATGTATATGTATCATAATCATTTTCCCATTCTTGGATAGTTATATTGTTTCAAAATGCCATTATAATCAACACTGGCATAAGTCCATTTTTAATTGCATCTCTGATTTTTCCTTAGAATAATTTCTAGAAAGGAAACTAGTGGGTCAAAGGATACAAACACTTTTCAAGACTTTTACCTGGAAAGGTTATACTATTTCAAGTTTCCATTAGGAATAAGAGTATTATTTTCACCAAATCCTCAGCAGCAACCTTATTAATTTCCATTAGTCTTTGCTAATTTGATAGGGAAAAGAGCATTCTGCTGTTCTAATTTACATTTTTTGAATTTATTAGAAACATTTTTATTTCTTTGTTGATCATCTTTTTTTGTATTCTTCCCCCATTTTCCTGTTGGATGTTAGCTTCTTAAAAACTGATTTGCATACATTTTTCATAAGTTACTTAAACCTATTTTACTTGTAGAAATTTATTTCTTTCTTTTGTGGCAGAGCCAGAGGGTCTTGTGGGATCTTAGTTCCCTGACCAGGGACCAAACCCTGCAGTGGAAGCACAGGATCTTAACAACTGGACTTGCTGGGAAGTCCCTAGAAATGTTTTTTGTTGTTTAATTTATTCACTTTTAGTCATATACATTAATTTTTATTGCAGCATAATGTTCATAAGACAAGTTCACAGATCATAAATGTGCAGACTAATCAGTTTTCACATGTTGAATACACGAATGTAACCTGGACCTGTGTTAAGAAACTGAACACCAACACACCAGAAGCTCCCTCTTACTCTCTTCCAGTCACTTCTCTCCACCCCCCAAATAACTGCTCTTTAGACTTTGATAATTAATTTAGATCTCTTTTGACTGTTTTTATAGTGTACACACTGTGTAGTTCCATTTGTATATGCTCTTTTTTGTCTGACTTTGCTCTCTGATTTTGTCTGTTATATTCATCCATGTGGTCATGTAAGGATTTTTTATTTCTCTGTAGTATTGCATGTGAATGTATAACCAGTTTTTAATTTGCTCTCCTATTAATGGTCTTTGGGTGATTTCCAGTTTGAAACTATTATGAATAGTGCTAATGTGAACATCAGTATATATATCTTACTGAACATATTTCTGTTGGGTATATACTTAGAAGAGGAATTACTGAGTCATAGGAAATGCATACATTCACCTGTGTGGATATGGCCTAACATTATTCCAAGGTAGTTGTACCAATTTATACTCTTAACCAGCAGTGTAGGAGAGGTCCAGTTGCTCCTCATAACCTCACTGACACTTGCTAATTTCCGTCTTTTTACCATTCTAGTGTGTATACTGGAGAAAGCAATGGCAACCCACTCCAGTACTCTTGCCTGGAAATGCCCATGGACGGAGGAGCCTGATAGGCTGCAGTCCATGGGGTCGCTAAGAGTCAGACACGACTGAGCGACTTCACTCTTCACTTTCGTGCATTGGAAAAGGAAATGGCAACCCACTCCAGTCTTTTTGCCTGGAGAATCCCAAGGACGGGGGAGCCTGATGGGCTGCCGTCTATGGGGTCGCACAGAGTTGGACACGATTGAAGCGACTTAGCAGCAGCAGCAGCAGTGTGTATACTGGTATCTCCTGTTGCATTTCCCTGATAAGGAAAGGGAGAGGTTTTTTTTTTTAATGTTTAAGGACCAGTTGTGTATTCACTTTGTGAAGCCAATTCAAATTTGTTGCATATTTTTATTTTGGGTTATCTCTTGGTACCAATTTGAAGGATTTATTTACGTATACTGAATGTAAGTCCTTTGGTGGATATATGTACCTCAACTATCTCAGGTCTGTGGAACTCTCTTAGTAGGAACTCTCTTCTGTTCTTTCAATGAACAGAAGCTCTTAATTTTATTATAATCGAGGTAAATCTTATATGGTTAGTGCCTTTAAAGAAATATTTGCCTGCTCTAAGGTCACAGAGCTTTATTTTAACCTTGTGCTTCTAGATCTGCCATCCATATGGAACTGATTTTTGTGTGGTATCAAGTAAAGGTCAACACATGTTTTTTTCCCACATGGATGTCTATTTAACCTGGCATTTTCTGAACGGACCATTCTTTCTTTGATGAACTACAGTGTTGCCCTTGTCATAAATCAGGATACCTTGTATGTGTGGCTTTGTTTTTGGATGTTTCCTTTCCCACTAGTTAATTTGATCATTCTTGTGCCTATATCACATTATTATAATTACTATAATGTTTATAATAGTTCTTAGTATCTGATAGAATAATACCTATCAGTTTTATTTTCCTTCAAGATTGCTTTGTCTATTCTTAGCCCTTTGTCTTTCTGAGTGAACTTTAGAGTCAGCTTGTCATTTTCACTTTAGAAAAAGGAAACTGCAAAGATTGATTGAGATTGCTTTGAATCTCTGAATTAGTTTGGGGAGAATTGACATCTCTACAGTATTGAATCTTCCAATCCACGAGCATTTTTATTGCTTGCCTTCTAAATGAGTCAAGCAACTTCCCATCACTTTGTGCTTTAGGACAGATTTACAAACTGGGACAACAGGGGAGGACAAATAATTTTCCCTCTACCCTTTGAGTTCTTGGCTGACACTCCTGTAATAACAGATAGATTAACTAGAGAAAAAAACAGAAAGAAAGTTAACACTGTTATGAAACAAAATTCATCTAGAGTAAATTTAAAAGATCTTACTGACTTTCTTCACCAATTTATGTATTGAGCAGCATCCCATCTGCTAGATGTCTAGCAGACAGAAAGGAGTTCCCGAATATGTAAAAAAAAAAAAAGAGAGAGAGAGAGACTTTTGTAGGCAGAGGAAGTGGGTCAAGGCAGTTAGGCTAGTAAAGAGGAGATTGGTTGTATCAAGGTCACATTCTTTTAGGGGGTGGCAGGGGTCTGTCAGGCAGATTACCTCACTGATGCTGACTGACTGGTTTAAGATTATATTTCTGTTACTGAACAAACAAGTTCCTGTGCCCAACTTGGACTTACTTGTCCAAACACCAAAACAATGAAGTCTGGAGCAGAGAAAGGTTTATTGCAGGGCCATGCAAGGAGAACAGGTGACTCGTGCCCCAAAAATCTAAACTCCTGGAAGGGTTTCACAAAGCATCTTTAAAGGCCAGATGAGGGGAGGAGCATACCAAAAAGTGTGATTTGGTCACTCAGAATTCTCTGACTGATTGATGTTGAGGTAATAGGGCCGTTAATATTATCAGTTCTTAGGTACCAGTAGGTCTGGGGGCTACAGGCTCATGATCATCAGGTAGTTAATTTCTTCCATTTGGTCATGGTTTTTTAGCATCTAAAAAACTCAGGAAATATGCAGGATATACTTGGTATTTCTGATCAGAGCTACAGCAGAAAATATTGGGAGAGGGGCTCTGTCCCAAGAAG